ATACCATAAATGGAACACAGTCCCATTCTTCATTTCTAGACACATCATTTTGATACCACGAAGGGGGAGCTCGAGTCCTGAGACGGGGCATTTGAAATATCATGTGGAATCAAAAGACGTCTGGGCAAGGCGAAGGGTTTCAGATGCCAGCTTCATTCCTTGATGATAACAGCACCTTCTCCCTTTTACAACAGCATTTCTTACGGATAATTACATTTCTGAGCATTTCTTACGGAGAATTACTGCGCTTCGTCAGTACCAGTGCTCCGGCCCTTTTCAGTCCTATGGTTTTGTCTCCTCAAGTGTTTAAGTGAGTCTATTGGGTCTCTTTAGTACCGTCTCCCATGTTCAGAGATGCTGAAGGAATGCTTCTGCAGAATCAGCCACAAACCAGCGCTGCAGGCACTTCATGCTAGAAACGGTTGCTGGCTCACCAGTGATTCATATTCGGAATGTTCTCTCATGTTGTAAGCGACAACCATTTTCTTTTTTCATTTCACGGTTATTTTGACTAATGTTACATTACCCAATGGTGAGCCTCGTGGCGATCCATTCGTCTCATGCATGGATTACCAGCTCAACAACTTTCCTGATAAAAACACCTTGGAAAGGCTATGACAACTTGGGGAACTAACAGTGTATTTTAAGAGTCTGCAAACACTGCCATCTTTCAGGTCACAATGTCCTCAACCGCGCTATCTGGGAAAACGCTACAAATATTTTAATAATTTTTTCAAATTTCGGAAGTAATGCAAGTTCTGTAAAATCGGTTATCCACAGTAGCTCTACTGATTATGCTCAATTAAAAGAAAATCCGGATGGAGACGAAAGAACGTCTGCAAATATAGGGAATGTCAGGATGGCCAGAAAGTTGACCACCATGTAATGCAATTTTGTTCAAAACAATCATGGAATGAAGAAATTGACGTGATTCTCGATTGCGTCACTGATGATGTATCACCGATGAGCTGATAGCTCCTTCACGTATCAAATATGCAAGGATTGGCCTCAGGATGATTGGTATAAAGGGATCATTGTTACGGATTTCACGTCACTGGCTTATTGGGTGTTGCGATGAGCAGTTGCGAGGTACTTCTGGAGGAGCCCAGTGGTGATGCGAGCAGCTTAGCAGCGGCTGATAAGTCGGACGAACCGATGCTCACTTGCCTTACATTCATTTTCCACTGGAACATACCGATTGTACGGTTCATCGGTAAGCTCACTCGTCTGTGCAACACGCATTGTTCACATGGACTCGTCCGATATCCAGGAAACTGGAACTGGTTGAAAAGTGAAAATAGCTTTTTTCAGGATCGTCGTTTTTTCAACAAACACATTTTCACACGGCATACGGAGCCTTTGCATACGAATGGTATGATTGTTATGGGACCTAAAACTTTAATTGCGCAGCGACGGTTTTCAGGGGATGGGCGGAGGGACAGAGGAGGAGAGGAGGGGGAACAAATGC